ATTCTTTAGTTCGTCCCAAACAGTTATGAGTTTAGTGAAGAAAGTTGTGACTGAAAGATCTCCCTACTTCATCGAATATGCCTCGTATTGTAGATCTAATACCCGTAAGAGATCTCCCTGTGCGTATCGTAATTTTAGATCTTTCCATATATCTTTAGCGTTGTCCATCCAAAGCATATTGTGACATATCGGAATGGAAACGGAATGCACGATCCAGAACATGATTATATTATGCATCTGTGCCAAGCACTGTTCATTGGATCAAAATGTGGTGGTTGCGTTGCAGTGTCATTGTTAAGTGACAAAAATTGATGTAATTATACTTTTAATTGTTATTTAATCACTTAAATTATGTTGATTATAATATATTTTTTTCCCAATGTAGGATGAATTTGTAGAATACCTTGGTACAAGAGCAATGATCATAATTCTCAAGATAATTGAAGAAAAATTGAAAAAAAGGAAGAAGATTTTCAGCCTAAGATTCGCCCGAGCGAGACGAACGCTCGCTTGAGCGAAAATACATTAAAGTTATCTGGAAGTCACTCGCTCGAGCGAACATTTATTCGCTTGAGCAAAAATACGTTAAAGCTCTCGGGAATTCAACTGCTCAAGCAAACAATTCTCACTTGAGCGAAAATCATCATTTTTCGCTTGAGTGAACGTTTTGCTTAAGCGAATGACGCGAAATTTTTCTATAAAAAGACAAGATGCGTTTTGAGAAAGTAGGGAAGGTTTTGATAAGAGAGGCGCGACAACTGCTTGAGTTTTCGTCCAATCTTCAATTTGGATCATTATAATGGTCATCATGAGTGATTAACTTCATTATCTTAGGATTGAGTGAACTTACTTTGAACTCTTTTGTATCTTGGTGATATTTTGAGATATTAATTTATGTTCTCGATGTTGTTATTCTTATCCTTTGTGTCTTTTAATATTTATCTTTGAGATTCGGATGTATTGGAAAATATATCTTGAAACCCTTTGATTAGGTTAAAAATATTTGATACGTTAATTGCTAGGGATGGTAATTGATGTATTAAATGCTTAACACCCTAAACCTAATGGTGAAAAATCTATTAAATGTATGAGGAATCTATGTTTACAAGGTTTTCTTATGAATTTCATGTTTGACGAATCAATGTGAATGATTTAAGTAAGTAATTGTCATCAACATTGATAGGTTAATTGATGTTATTAAGTTGACCTAACCATTATACAAAAGAGGGAAAAAGAATTAATCTAATCTTAAGTTCTAATAGTTTATTTTTTCTAAATATCTTTTATCATTCTTTACCACTTATTTGCAATCCAAATATTTATGAAAAACTACTTTTGTGTCAAAACACTTAGTAAGCATATGATTTGTAATTTCCAGTGAAATCGTTTCTCGTGGGATCGATTTTTATTTAATTAAAATACTGTACTACGATTAATAATATTGGTATGTTTGTCAAAAGACCAACAACCATCAACGTATTCTACCTTATTCTTTGCACTAAGAGCAGTTAGCATAAATATACTCCATGAATGATAATTGGAGGAATTAAGAAGAGGAGATACCAGGTTGCTGGATTTTCACTCGGATAGAGGTAAAGATAACTATGCACGCCAGGTGTTTGATTGTTAGTCATAGTGATAAAGAATAAGGGAAAAAGAAAGAGCAAAACACAACATAACCCTTCAAAAGATAAAGATAATTGTGCACGTCGAGTGTTTGATTGTCAATCATGATAATAAAAAAAAGGAAAAAAAAAGAGGAGCGGAACACAACAAAACCCTTTAAGAGAAGGGTTTTGATATCATATCAAATATCATAATAGGAAAGAGAGGAAAAAGAAGACGAGAATGATCAATAAAAGTTTCATTATTATGAAATAATAGAATATATATAATGTCCAGTAATATGAAAGAAAAAAAATCTGTAAAAGAAAACAAATAATAACAAAGTTGTAATAGAATGCTATAATTAAGAAAATTAAGAATAGACAACATTTTTATATATTATATTATAATTGATAATATTTTTTAATTATGAAATTAATATAAGATATCACATTCCATCATATTAAAATTTTGAATACGAATGCATAGTTTTTTTTTTTTCACTAATATTGGCTCCTTCTCTTTATTGTTTTATTTTATTTATCCTTTATTCAATTGTGGTATATGCCACTTGACCCATTTAATACAAATAGTTAGTTTGGGTCACGTAATAATGGATGGAATAAAATTTCTGGGCATCTTTATTGGAGCGAAGGACAAAATTCATATTCTTAATTTATTTTTGAAAGGGAAACAAATTTCTTAGATGTTATTCATTTGGGGCAAGCTATTGGAATAGCCTTTTCAAAGTCCTATCTAGGCTCACTTAAGCTGGATAATCGGATCTTCACCCATCATTTATCCAAACACATGATAACAATTGAAATCGCATCTTATGAATGAATGAAATTACATGCCATAGAATAGTACTTGTAGAATAAATTCAACTCCTACTTATTTGTAAGTATATTTGTTACCACTTGGGTGGACCATAATCACTTCTATCTATACTTTGTACCACATTTTCACATTCTCATTCACGTCAACTCATACCCTCAACATTTAAGTATCTCAATTATGGAAAAATTAGACTAAAGTAATCATTTCGTAATGTACTAACATTCATTTCCCCAATCATCTCGCTATATAAAATAACACAATTTTAAGTGTCTTTAAACATGAGGATTATAGGAGTTTTTTTTTCTCGTAGATTTTTTTTTTAATATCACCGATAAAAATCTAATAATTAGTTTACGAATTGTTTATTTAGATAATTAAATTACAAAATTAATGAACGTAATTAAGTAAAAAGAAAATAAACAATATTCTCAAGCATAGTGGAACTTTGCCTCTCCGAATAACATTGACAGAATCGAGAGTGAGATTCAAGCACCACTAGTTAAATAGGACTATTCAAGAACATACGGTGGAACATAGGACACTAAGTATATATATCACATAAATTTTCTTATATTAAAAAGTAAAATATTACTTTATGATTTTAATCTTTTATTTAAAGTTTTTTTTTAATTTAAAATGATCATTTATAATCCTTATAAAGTTTTTATTATCTTTTCACCACAAATAATTTTTAAAATAGATAAATTATAAAAAAAAAGTACACTTCCTAACATCACATTCACATTATTACATGTCAGTTTAAATGATGAGGTGTCTTTTATTAGATGCATAAATAATTAACCGTTCTTATATAATACTAACATAGAAATATATTTCTTACGATAATCAGTTACATATAAATGTATTAATATAGTTTAATATAGATGGATCCAAAAGTTAAAATAAAAAAGTTATATTAAAAAACAAATTGGTCTGCATTAACCTTATTTTGATTTGGTTGAATATATCTAAATTTGAACTTATAAAAACTTAAATTAGATTACAGTAAAATCTATTTTATAAAATAATAATTATTTAAAAAAATATTATTTTATTATATATATTATAAATTAATTTAAGAAAAATTCATTTATTTTAAAACTAAATATTAAAATAAATATCTAATAATAACTTATTTTAAAATTTAATTATTAAGATCAATTATTAGTTTAAATTAATTAATTATTATATAATAAAAAATAAGTTTTTAATTTTCATACTCACCTACCACGGTAAAAACACAAAAGTGTGACACAAACCATGCCTACCTTAAAAGTGATGCGAATATGAGAAGGAGAAGGAAAATGATAGTGATGTGGTGGGGCAATATTATTCAACATTCCACTCACTAATATAAACCTTCTCAGTTGTCGTCCCAAAAATTCACTCTTACCATACACATATACCACTTTATACTTATATCTTTTATTATTTATGATCTAATTTATATTATATTTCTTACAAATATAAAATCATATATCTAGTACATCTAGCATTATTTAAATTAGAGATGATACCATGTAGATATTTAATTAATCAAAATATTTAAAATAAATACTTTTTTAACTTTTTGAGATAATCCAAAAACAAAAGTAGACAAGTTTAATGCTGACAGAGCACTTTTGAAGTTGTCTTTCTCCACTGAATGGGCCCACCCTTCTGGCACACATGAGATGACACATCCACAATGCTGCCAAGTAACTCAGATGGTTCCACCACCAATCCCACTTCCATCCCAAGCTGAGATAATGCTCTGATTTTTGCTCTCTTTGCGACTATTATTAATATTATTATATGTGCATTTCTTCACCAACCATTATTCATTATAAATTTACTCTGCAAACCCTGCAACCGCACCAAATCCTCACCTTCACAACTTCATTTCTTCTCTGTAATTCTGGCTTTCCATCATCCCACTCTGTTTTGCACCATCTTACTCTGTTTCATTGGCTTTCCCCTGTTATCCACCAATGATTACACCAAAGCGGGTCCACAGATTCTTCAAGTTCCGTGCCTTAGTGCTTTCCCTTATCTACACAAACCATTCTTTGTGCCTTGTGAATGCCCAAAACTGACCCTGCGCTCAAACCTTATCTGCCACAAATCCCCTGCACCAAAAAGGTTACTTTGACACCAACCTGTCACTTTCCTTGTCAAATAGTAGCTCCTTATTCTCCCATCCAATCACTCACACCTTGCACCACTTTCTCACCCCCTGTAACTTTCGTTTTCAAATAGAACAAGAAACGAGAAAAATCAAATGGTTTCTAAGGACTATAACCACTTAACATGTACGGTTGTGAACATGGGCAAAATGATGCAGAGCATTGACTATTCTACACTTTTCTGGCTATTTTTTGGGGTTTTCTCTCACGTAAATCATGAAGGAAAGCCTCGAATCTAGGATAATACCATAAATCAATTTTGTTCTGCTTTATTTTATTGTCTGTCTCTTTCTTCTTCTCTTCACAAGGAAGTTGCAGTCTGCAAGTTATAGTGTTTCAACAAATATATGAGAGGGCTGTTAAGTTGTTACATATAGATAATAATCAAGCATGGGAGAACATTGTTATGTAGAAACCGACCCAACTGGTCGCTATGGAAGGGTAAGTTCTAATCCCCGTTTTCTTTCTGTTTAATCCGTTTCTTTAGCCATTTATTACGTTGTTTCAATTAGGATTATTAATTATGCGATGCCTAGGGTTAAAAATATATTCCACCCCTTGTTTTTTTGTATCATAAGCATGTATATGTAGTTTTAGAAGAGACATACTTTGGTTCACATGATTAGTTTTGTATGAAAGTTAACGCCCTCTGTACTATTTAGTTATTATTATTAGACTTTGATAGGTAATCACATAATTGTATAAAACTAGTATCATTCTTGCAGGGACTTTTTTATTTTTTTTATTGAGGGCAAATACTGTGTTTATACAATTATGTGTTATCAGTTACAAATGATTGAGACGTGTTGTTTCTAATGTGACACATGGTGTGTGTTGTTTGTGATTGATTATTAGTTTGGAGATATTCTTGGAAAAGGGGCAATGAAGACTGTGTACAAAGCAATTGATGAGGTTCTTGGCATTGAGGTAGCATGGAACCAAGTCAGACTCAATGAGGCGCTTCGCACCCCGGAAGATTTGCAGAGGCTTTACTCAGAGGTTCATCTCCTCAGTACCCTCAAGCACCAGTCCATCATAAGATTCTACACTTCTTGGATTGATGTTGAAAACCGGGCCTTCAACTTTGTCACAGAATTGTTCACATCAGGGTCACTGAGAGAGTAAACTAACTTCCTTTCCAACTATAAATTAACCAATTGCTCAGTCCCATTAAGTAGTTCATTACAAAAATTGGGTAACCTAAGACCAACAGTCATCACATGGATTTTGTTTGATACAAGAAATGAGAATATAATCATGAGCTGAAAATGTATATCGCAACTTTAGGCTAGTATATGTTTTATGAAAAAGCATCAAGGTGCAATATACATTTCATGCACTGTTTTTTTCTTTTGTCAGTATTTTGAATAATTAGTGTTTAATTTATGGTTAGAGAATAATCTGAGTCCATTATAAAAATAATTGATGATTTTCTTGCACATGCAGATACAGGAAGAAATATAATCGTGTCAGCATACAAGCTATAAAGAATTGGGCTCGCCAAATCTTACAAGGTCTTGTTTATCTACATGGGCACGATCCACCAGTGATCCATAGGGACCTTAAATGTGATAACATATTTGTCAATGGTCATCTTGGACAAGTAAAAATTGGTGACCTGGGACTTGCTGCAATTCTCCGTGGTTCCCAATCAGCACACAGTGTTATAGGTACTCACTTTGGTTCCAGTGACTGTTTTACATTAAACATTATTATTTTCTGTTGTGAATTAAAATGTTCCCATTTTATGCTAGGCACCCCTGAATTCATGGCTCCAGAATTGTATGAGGAAGAATACAATGAACTTGCTGATGTGTATTCATTTGGCATGTGTGTGTTGGAAATGCTTACATCTGAATATCCATATAGCGAATGTTCTAATCCAGCACAAATCTACAAGAAAGTGACATCGGTAAATTCAGATTCTGCTGTAAGTTTCAAGAGATATGTAAAGCTAGGTGTTTTATTTAGAAAGAACATTTCATATTTCAGGGAAAACTACCAATGGCGTTTTTCCGGATTGAAGACATGGAAGCACAAAAGTTTATTGGAAAATGCTTACTACCTGCAGAAAAGAGGCCGTCGGCGAAAGAATTGTTGCTTGACCCGTTTCTTGTGTCTGATGATCCATCATCAACGACAAAATTTGCAATTCAGAAGCCATTTTTAAATGCCACTGAGATGGAGAAACTACAATTAAGTGATGATCTTCCTAGGACTGGAATGAAAGTGATAGGGAAACTGAATCCTGAAGATGATACTATCTTTCTCAAAGTGCAAATTTCTGATAAGGATGGTTTGTAATCTTTTTCTTAACACAATATCTAGTTTGTTCATTTTAAGGAAAATTCTCTTCATTAAGACACTAGGTACATGCTTCTTGTCATTTGACCGCTAAGCAATTGCATATGTTTTGTTGATGAAATTCAATCTTTGGGCTAAACTTTATAGGTCTATATAGTAAACATCATCATATTAAAGTAACAGTAAGTTTTTTGTTGCCTGCTTCCGCAGGTTCTGTAAGGAATGTATTCTTTCCCTTTGACATTTTCAATGACACCCCTGTTGATGTTGCAACTGAAATGGTGAAAGAGTTGGAGATTGATGATTGGGAACCTTTTGAGATTGCAAATATGATTGATAGAGAGATATCTGCTCTGTTACCTCACAGGAGGCAAAGTAGCAGTTCAGATGCCTTCCACACATTCAGCTATATAGATGGTGATTGTGATGATGACGATGCAACTCAACATCACTTTCGCTCGTTCTCTTCAAGTTCATCATTCCAGGAATCACTGCCAGATTTTGTCAAAGCTGAGGAAATATCAAGTGGGTATTATTGGCTCCATGGTATGTTTTCTTGGTCCTTTTCCTTATTGATATTGTGAATGTCCTATTTAATAGCTCCATATATTGAAATGTAGACTACCTACACACTAGGAAGAAATGTTAGATAGTTCAAAAAACCAGTCTGAGACTACTATGGTTGCATCTAATCTTCACATGATATTATTATTAAATTTTCTAATAAACATGACTCATAGGAATTAATCAAGACTATATGATGGTCTTGGACTATTAAAAAGCTTCTTTAGCAATTGACTGTAGATTTATTTGGAGAAATTTCTTCATAAACATAAAGAAAACTGAGATAAACTTCATTATAAGCTAAAGTTTCCTTACGTATAAACTAAGTTGAGAAATGATTTCCTATTAATTTCTCTAAAATTTAATTTTAAATTAATGTATAAACTAATTTTATTTTATAAAAAAAACTGATTGAATTTTTTTAAAAGTAATTATAAAGAAGTTTCCTCCAAAACATACTCTATTGATGATATTTTGTCATTTTAGCATGAGTTGGAAATATATGTAATTTATTGACTTGTTCATAGGGGAAATAATATATTTAGAGGAAATACATGTAACTGAAAGTTTAGATGACAAATTCAATCATATACTTTTGTAAACTATTATTATTTTTTTATATTAACGTATCCTTGTTGGACAAGTACATGGCTTCAAAGGTTTTTGCTTTAATCATATAAGAGAGGGAGATAGTAACATGAGAAACTATTGTTGCAGATGATTCGCATGACGATACCAGTTCACGATGCTCTTCACAAGGGACATATTCCAACTTGAATTATTATTCTGTAGATGATCATCAAGATCAGTACAACGTGCCTTCTTTGAGAAAAGATAAACTTCCCATCATAAAGAGTCACAGCAAGGGAAAAAAGGTTTCCCCTGGCGAAGACTTAAGCAATCTCAACCACTTTAAACTCATGGTAGGATCACAGGTTCCTTTTACTAGTAAAAATAAGATAGTGATGAATAACAGCAGATTAACAAGGAACAGATCATTGATTGATCTAAGGAGCCAACTATTACACCGATCACTGGTTGAAGAGGTAAATAAAAGAAGGTTATTCAAGACAGTTGGTGCTGTGGAAAATATTGGGTTTCAGGCACCTTGTGATGTTACCACAAAAAGGTCACAGCATGTATCTGCTGCTCCAAATGAGAAATCTTCCAGGAAGGGCAAGGGGAAAAAATAAGACATGAAAACATTTAGATGTTTCCCTTGAAGATTGAAAAACAAATAAATGTAATGCATAGCCTTTTGTGTTATATAAGCTTGAGAAAATTATCTGGTTGATTAAATATTAGGTTAATTATAAGATTTCCGCTGAGATATTAAAGTTTGGCCACTAAGATAGGCAAAAATAATTGCACTGCTTGAGTTAGGTCCGAATGAATGTGATTAAGTGTATAGATCGATGTACATTGAGCGTGCTTAGCAAAAATAAATGATTTTTGGCTATGACAGTCTTCTCAGGAATGCTGGTTCAACTTCTTCTTGTACTATTTCTATTCTGTAGATGAAAATGAAACTAAGTGGAGCATTTTTCACCTCGCTTTCTCATTTTTGGAGCATTCACCGATTTCCGTGCTGTCAAATTTGACTGTATGTGAGTCCTTTGTTGTCAGTAATAAAGATTATAGAGCCATGTTGCCAAACCTTTTCTAACTCAGGTCATGTGTAGTTGTTTGTTGGCTTCTTCCATAACAATAAATTTTGATGTTTTACATGTGATAGTTGATAGTCAAATTTGTACAATTAATCATGCATAAATAGTTGTTAAAGGAGAAATTTCAAATAAAATATGAAAAATGAAAGAATGATTGACAATTTGTAAGTTGGTAGGTGGATGTAATAAATAACTAAACAGTTTAGAAAAAGCTACATGTGATCTCTGTGATTTCACCCTAGTACAGGGTGAAGTAAATAACTGAACAGGGTGCAGTTATTTTTCAAACAGATTTCACCCAAGCACTTGGATTGAGAAACTAAACATTATCAATCATGAATTTTGAATCCAAAGTGTGGCATCCTTTGTTTGACCATTTTTATGTATGTTCTGATTAAGAATTTACTTCTGGGAAATGAGATTCATAAGAAAGAAAAAAAGATTTATAACGATGGACCCCATTTTTGACTAATGAGTCATACTATGAATGGTGTGGAGCTGTATCACCATTGTCTGTCCCATTTGTTAGATGCAGCATGGTGTTATTTTCAAGGCTATGATTGTAGATTTATGTAAATTTGATATGTCCCTTGATCTTGAAGCTTAATAATAGTGGATTGCACTTGAATAATGATGTTTTAGAGTCGTTTTATTTTACAGTGGAAAGGTTGGGGAGACAGAAATTTTCTGTGCTTCTTGAATAATGAAATATGAATTTACAATCTTCAGTTCCACACTATCTACAAACTTATGTGACTTGAGTCATTTTATAGAATATGTATTTGATATAATTTTGTTTTGGCTTATTATAATTTTAACATCTCTAATTAACCCCCACGTATTATGACATGCATATTTCTTCATCTTTATGATGGTACAATGGATTATCCATCACCATCAATCTGTGCTGACTCTGATATATATGCAGTAAATTTTGCACTTTATTAACTCTCACACCAATTAAAAAATATTCATGCCAAATTAACAGTTTAATCTACTTCATACACAAATATTCACACCAATTGAAGATTTTGTCACTTAAGCGATGGTTTCGTTTGGTAAAGGTTCAACTGTCGCTCAAGCGATTACATAGTCGCTTGAGCGCGAGGCGACCTTAGATAGCGGTTGTCCAAATAACCGCTATCTAAAGTCATATATGTCAAACTGTTCGATTATAATTGGATAATAATCGATCATAATGTATAGTTCAGATAGCGGTTGGCCAAATAACCGCTATCTAAAGTCATATATGTAAAACTGATCGATTATAATTGGATAATAATCGATCATAATGTATAGTTCAGATAGCGGTTGGCTAAATAACCGCTATCTAAAGTCATATATGTCAAACTGATCGATTATAATTGGATAATAATCGATCATAATGTATAGTTCAGATAGCGGTTGGCCAAATAACCGTTATCTAAATGTTAGAAAAAGACAAGCTTTTCGCAAATAACAGATTATCTAATTCAAAAATTAATATTCCAGATCTGTTCTTGAATTACAAAGCAATCAATCAATATAAATGCAGCGACAGAATTAAAATAGAGAAAGTTTAAGAAAGATATCACCGGTGTTTTATATTGGTTCACCCAATACCAGGGCTACGTCCAGTCTCCAGCCAAATTCCAGGGTTCCACTAGATCAAATGTTTTACAAATTTACAATCTTACACTTAATCTACCACAAGAACCAAATTCCAGTTCCTGCAAACAACCTCTCACCAAGAACCAAATTCCAACTGCAGAGAACCCAAGTGCCCAAATTCCAGGCACCAACACCTAATCTTTTACCAAGAACCAAATTCCAGCTTCTTGACAACCTCTACAACCAAATTCCAGTCTGCAGAGAAACCAAGTGCCCAAATTCCAGGCACCAAACAATACCAAAAGAATGTAAAGAAATGAAAAAGAAGAAACTAGAATGCTCAAACCAGCTTGATGCAATTCTACTGTAAGTGTTTCTTCTTCAAAAGAAAACAAGTTGCCTCAAGAAAGATTTTCAAAGAACTTCTCAAAAGCTCGATGCGAATCTTTCTTGAAAAGAGTGCTTGAAGTTTGCTTTATTGATTGGTCAAGGATGTGTAAAAGATGATATTCAATGTGTGTTTAAAAAGTTCAAGCAACTCTGTTTTTATAGAAGATTTTCAAAACTGCTGGTTTAATTAATCTGTTAAAAGTGCAGTTTTAATCTGTTAAAACTTCTTTTAATCAATTAATACGTTCTTGATTCTTTAACAGATTTGTTTTAACTGATACGACAATGTTTGTATCAATTAAAACACTTTACAAAAAAATCTTCTAAGTTTATTTAATCGATTGTTTCGTAATTCAATCGATTGAAGTACTGCACAACTTTCTTGTAAAACTTTTCAAGTGATTTTAACTGATAAAAATAAGTTTTAATCGATTAAAACGCTGTGTAGAAATTTTCTAAGTTGTTTTAATCGATTGAAACGAGACTTAATCGATTAAAAGAGTTCTGATCGGTCATAACTAAATTCTGATCGATCACAACTGATTCTGATCGGTCATAATTTAATTCTGATCGATCATATCTGATTCTGATCGGTCATAATTGTATTCTGATCGATCATCCTGAACTCCAAGTGGTTTTAACCGATTAAACTCAAGTTGTATCGATTAAAATACTGTAAAAACACTTCTCCGAATATTCTAAGTAATTTTAATCGGTTCTATCAAAGCTATATCGCTTAAAAACTTGTTTAAGAAAGCCGATAAATGTCTGGATAAACTTGTTTAAAAACTTGTTTAAGAAAGCTCGATAAACTTGTTTAAAAACTCAACTTGTTTTTTATCACATGTCTGATAAATGTCTACAACCGATGATTGTTACGTAAATGTATGGACCATCAACTGACGATAAATGCATTGAAGAAATTACAATTGTCGTTACATTGTTATATTTACATCCACAACTCTTACAAGATCAGAATGTATAGTCTACACTATCTGTTGCACGTTTATGTCCTATCATATATACTCTAACAAAATCAGAATGTATAGTCTACACTACTCGATGACGTTATCCGACCAACAAGACATTGAATCAAAAAAAGCTCGTCAATCAACATTGTTATATTGTTAAACATGTGCAGTTGAAATAACACTCGCAAAATTCTATGTAGTAGATATTAACACTTATGTCCTGCATGTTGAAGAAGAAATTATTAGTATACATCAACGTAATGCAATTCAAAACTAATGTAATAATATTCATTGTTAACAGAGTAATTCATTAAAAAGACAATGTTTCCAAACCATTTTGTTGAGGAAGACAATTGTGTGCCGTCAACATTAGTGTCAAGTGATGTCAACAATGACACAAAACCAGTGATACCCAATGTTGATGGCTGCAAAGGGCAACATTTAAATGAGTTTTGACATATGACTTTACTGCCATTTTACATAACATATACTGCATAAATAGTATATCACACTTTAAATAAAGGAAATTCAATTTAACAATCACTATAACATGAAATAAATTTCATTTCTGACACACACCAATCCAGATGGCCGACAATCAAAATGAGTTTCTACGTTAAGGGTTGAGTTTAACAATGCGGACGAAGTTCCTTCAGTGTTCCCCTGTAATGGCGAAGATAAGATATTAATGAACTTACGAAGTTCCTTCAGTGTTCCCCTGTAACAATGCGGACGAAGTTCCTTCAATACAACTGTTATCCGTGCAGGACATGATTTTGTTTTGGTGGGTCGGGTTCTAATTTCAGTTGGTGTAGCAGAAACATACTTACCTGCCCTTGCACACACCAACATGAAGTACCGCAATTGGTTATCGGGGCCCTTCTTTGAACTCCTTGTTTTGATGCCAAATCCTTTTTGTATGGCATATTTGTTAGAAAAGTAGTTTTAGATCAAGAGGGGGGGTGAATTGATCTTTGAAAGTTTTTCGCAAATCACAGATTATCTAATTCGAAAATTAAGTTTACTAATCTATTCTTGAATCGCAAAGCAATCAATCAAAATAAGCGCAGCAACTGAATTTAAAGGAGAGAAAGATTAAGAAAGATATGACCGGTATTTTATACTAGTTCACCCAATAACAGTGGCTACGTCCAGATCTCCGACCAAATTCCAGCTGGGTTCCACTAGATTAAATGTTTTACTGATTCAACAATCTTACACCTAATCTATCACAAGAACCAAATTCCAGTTCCTCGCACTTAACCTCTCCACCAAGAACCAAATTCCAGCTCTTGATAACCTCCACAACCAAATTCCAATGCTGCAGAGAAACCAGTGCCCAAATTCCAGGCACCAACACCTAACCTCTCACCAAGAACCAAATTCCAGTTCTTGATAACCTCTACAACCAAATTCCAGCTCCAGAGAAACCAGTGCCCAAATTCCAGGCACCACACAGTACAAAAGAATGAAAAAGAATTGACAAAGAAGAAACTAGAAAGCTCAAACCAGTTTATCCAAATCTGCAGAGAGTTTCTTCTTCAAAAGAATGCAAGTTGCCTTAAGAAAGATTTTCAAAAGAACTTCTAAAAAATTGTTGCGAATCTTTCTTGAAAAAGTGCTAAAGTTTGCTTGAATGATTGCTTAAGGATGTGTAAAAACTGATGTGTAAAAAGTTCCAAGCAACTCTGATTTTAAAGAGTATTTTCAAAACTGCTGCATTAATTAATCTGTTAAAAGTTTGTTTTAATCTGTTGAAATAGTCGTTTCAATCTGTTAAAAGTCCTTTCAATCCATTAATACGTTCTTGATTCTTTAACAGATTTGTTTTAGCTGATACGACAACGTTTATATCAGTTAAAACACTTTACAAAAAATCTTCTAAGTTAATTCAATCGATTCTTTCGCGTTTTAATCGATTGAAATACTGCAAACTTTCTTATAAAACTTTTCAAGTTATTTTAACTGATAAACCATAGGTTTTAATCGATTAAAACTCTGCACAAAATTTTTCCAAGTTGTTTTAATCGGTTGAAATGTGTTTTAATCGATTGAAACAGATCTGATCGGTCATAATTCAATTCTGATGGATCATAACCAACTCTGATCGGTCATAACTGCATTCTGATCGATCATTCTAACCCTTTAAGTCATTTTAATCGATTGAAACATGTTTTAATCAATTGAAATAAATTCTGATCGCTTATATTTTAAATCTGATCGGTCATAATGGGTTCTAAAAGGTTTTAATCGATTAAAAGCAATTTGTATCGATTAAAATACTGTAAAAACACTTCTTTGAACATTCTAAGTGATTTTAATCGGTTTTTTCAAAACTATATCAGTTAAAAACATTATTAAGAAAGCTTTTGTCAAAATGCTTTGTTTTTAATTGTTTAAAACGATTTTAGAGGCATTTTGCAAAATCATTTAAGTGAAGAAACTTCATGCAGCAGAAAAGATAAAGTGGTTTTACCTAAGCATTCTGTTAGACACACTAATCCTCTAACTCTTTTATCTAAGTGACTTGTTGACCGCTGCAAAGTTGACTTTTGACTTCATCTTTGACTTCATCAAATCAATGAGATCTTTGCCAAAGTATCTCAATAAGATCTTCATCACTTTCAATATTGTCGATAAAATGACTTAACTACATCTGCAGTTTCAAAGGACATTCCTACACATGGAACAGAACCGTCGTATTCTGTTGTAGTCCTGACATCTGCGTCGGGAGATCCTTCATCATGGCCAACCAACACTTCTTCATGTAAACTTGTGACATCTGCATTATTGGGTATGTTATCATGTACACCTATCATTTCTTGGTCTACACCTTTGAGAGGACCATCACATTGTTGTACATTCGCATCACTACCTATGTCATCATACACGGCCAAAATGCCTTCGTTGACAGCTACATCTCTGTTTTCATTTATATCTCCCATGCTAGATAAACGATGAAGGATACAATTCCTACCATTGACAACAATATAATAGTAACCATATTATTCAGCAAAAAATTCAGCAAACTATTTACAAATTAAACAGCTAACGAACCAATTATTCAGCAAAAAATTCATGAAAATTGTAGACTAACATGAACATAGGCACAAAACGATAAGAATGCACTTACTTGAACCGTAAAAATACAGCTTAGGAAAAGGATCTCCGATAGATAATGATAATGGAGGAGATTGATGGCGAGAAGAAGGTAACAATCAACAAATTTCTTCAACGTCGGTGCTTCTATCGCGCAGATGTGAAACAGTGACTGTCGGCGTCGCTCACTGATTTTGCCTTTAGGTTACACGTAAGGTCTCTTGAGCGACTTTATCGTCGCTTACATTTAATTATGACAGATAAGTTAATATTATAATCTATTAGCTTAATATAACCGATCATATACCACTTATAATCGATCATCATAATGTATAATCGATTATAACCTAAAATAATCGATCATTTTATCTGATTTTTCTATTCTCGCTCAAGTGAAATAAACATTGCTCGAGCGACTCCACCTGCTAAGATTGGGGATTCTCGGGTTAAGTTTCGCTTGAGCGACACTATTATCGCTCGAGCGAAATATGATTCAAACATGTGCTCACCCATGTTATATTATGCGGCTAACTTTGATCGACGTTTAGCCACAAGTCAACAATCGGTCAAGCTAAATTTAAATCGCTCGAGCGAAGCCACCTGCTAAGATTGGGGATTCTCGGGTTGAGTTTCGCTTGAGCGACACTATTCTCGATCGAGCGAAAAATCTGATTCACTTTTAAGAGCGGTTCGTGTGGAACCGCTATTATATGATCACTTTTAAGAGCGGTCAACCTATTAACCGCCCTTAAAAGTTATCGTATAATATATACTTTTAATTTCTAGGACCACTCTCTTTAGTAGGTTTATATAGCGGTTTTGGGAACTGCTATCTAAAGTCCCAATTTAAAAAAAAATTATTTAAATTTGAAATGCCAATGGAACCACGTTGACGATGTTGCCGGAAAAATTGTACAATGCGGTGGTGAGTGAGTTCGACTGACAAGTTGGGCAAGTTCACAACCGCGAAGGTCGAGGTCGAGGTCGACTTGTCAAAATATCAGCACTCTTAAAAAAATACACCAGAATCATAAAATAAATAAAAAAATTTCGGCCATCACGCTGAACTAAACTGCTAGTTTTCACAGATCGATCTATTTGAGCGATTCTCATCTTCAAGTCTCAGCATTTGTGTTGTTGTTGTCAGATAACGACCATGTGACCGATATCATGTCTGAGTCACATGACTGATCGTGATCTATCGCTTAGGTTCGAGACCACGATCATCGTATACTCGAGAAATATGCACGATCCACTACTAGTAAGAGGAAGTCTGAAACTGAATCCTAGACTTTTTTCTAGAACCGTCAATAATTTCCTATACAATGAAATGACTCTTCTAGAAAGAACTTGGATTTGATTACCTATTTCTTAGAGCGCAATGAATATCATATTTTTATCTGAAGGAACACTTGGTCATTTTAGTTTTTTTTTTTTTTTTCTGTGTAACTTTCTATGCTGCAGAACTGCCACAACTTAACTAATTTACTGTCAGACAACACAACTAGGGATACAGAGAGCTATTTATGATATTTAGTTTTTCTGTTCGTGGAATCTGGTATGCTAGGTTGCAGAAAAGAATTTAAAACCTGACATTGGGATCTGGACTGTACCAGCTGTTTTTGCATCTAGATGTACTACTCAATCAAGATATAGTTAAATGCTTTAAGATTCAAAGAGGAACATTTACTTGACATTTGACACAGAAGATCCAAAAACACCCAAATAGTGACAAAAGTGATAAGGAAGTGGCAAGGGAATTCAGCAAGTGTTTTAGCCATTAGTTTGCATTGCACTAATAGCAGATAGAGATATGTTTATCAGATTCCATAGAAAAATTCTAAAAACAAGCAAGAAAATCAATTGATTCTTAGCTAAATTCAATGTTTCCTGGCATATTCCAGGTTGCCAAAATTTAGGATATTTTTTATATGAGAATACCAAATTGGTCATCCTAATAGTTCAGAATAGAAGTTGATCCAAAGAGTAGTGATAGTTACAAGACTATAAACATATCACTGGATAACAATATGATCTTTACATTCTAAGTTGAGCCAAGTCAAACCAAATTTGCTCAAATGCTTTAACAATGAGATCATGGTATTCACTTGAATTGAGGGAAAGGTAGCGGGCAAGTAGGTCCTCCAAATCTTTCGATGCTCGGATGTTGTTCTCCACAATCATCTCCACCATTGACTCCCTGAAGTCACTCTGTGGATCAAATGAGGACTTCACAACAGCAAAGCCATCTGGGAAACCTGTACTCCTTGAAGCTTTGTTTCCAGTGGATGACACACTCCTTCTTGCACAGGCTTGGATTTTTCTGCTAGCAAGTTTTGGAGAATTGATTCTAAGCCTTATGCCAGCAGAATTAGCAAAGGCCTTTCTATGATTGCTTGTTCTCCTCCTTTGATTTCTATTGCCTTCCTCTTTTTTAATTTCAATTGAGAAAGACTGATCATCCCGCAACTCGTCCCATTCAGTTGAACTTCTCAACTCAGTAGCTTCAATGACCTTGTCATCAAACTTCACTGGCTTTGTCAATATTGGAGCAAGACCTAGCTGTGAAATTGCATCAAACCCGTCGTGCTTTTCAGAGTTCCCAAGGAAAGACTCATTGTTCATATCAATGATGATGTCATTAGTGGAGGAACTAACTCTGCAGCTGCAGTTAGAGGCCATTCCATTGAGCAAATCAGGGACAGAAAAACTGTCACATTCGGACTCAGAATAAGCATATTCATGGAGATCAGATTCGGAGGAGCTTTCAACTGAAGACACATCATAATCTGGTGACTGAACTTGGTATGGCTTGATCCGGTGATTGGTGGAGTCATAGTTGGAAGTTGGTATGAAAGATGAAGAGACAACAGTTGGAGAAGGCTTGTAAATGGTTTTTCTGCTAGCCCTTCTCTTGGATGACCTTCTGGGTGAATCATTGAATGGCATTTCCAAGTCTTTGGTGTGAATAGGAGTGTTGAATAGCTTACCAGTTCTGATGGGCTCAGTGGAGAAATAATGTGAATATCTTGGTAGCGACCTTTGAGATGTTGTTGGTGAAGATACTTTACTCTTCATAACATGAGAACCATTTCTCTTCCTTGATCTGCTCATATCTTTTAGCTTGTAAAACCAAGCATTTGGCATCATATCTGACAACTTGAACCTGTTGTTCCCCATGAGATATATGACAGAAACACAGACTTGGTCTAGTTTTTCTTGTATTGTGATGCCTCAGATGTGTTTCCAATTGATACAAGATGAATAAAGGAAGAAAGGTTGGTTCATAACAGGAGTAAAAGAAGAAAGTTGCAATTGGTGGTCCAAAAGTCCCTAGCATGAAAGCAAGGGGACCAAGTTTGTCCACCAAATTACTTTCTCTCATCATTGCTTACCAGCAAACATGCACAAAGCTCGTACTGTTTGTATGACTACAACATTATTGGTTTTCTATATTCACGCTCGTCCAAGCTATCAATTCCATTATAACGACTGTAATACAGTTGTATAAGAAACATTCCCTCACGCACACTATTCATCGTTACGAAAAGATTGATGATATGTTGACAATCATAAATAATATCATCCTTCCAATAACTTATTTTTATTAATATAATAATCTATAGAATGATTTAATAAAAATAAAAATAAAATAAAATTATTATTCTAATATTAAAAGAGAGTTATTTATAGGAGTGGTATGGATTTGGACTGTCAAAGTATCATTTCCCTTGTAAAAATGGAGATGGAAATGATGCGTAGAATATATATGAGAATTTGTTTTTGGAAGACTGACACTATTGGAGTTTAATTTTCGAATATAATGTGAATACCTTTTAACCAGCAAACTAATTAAAAAACTTTTAAATATATTTTTTCAATTAATATATATAATTTATGACTGAATAGTGGTATTAATAATTTGAGCAGTTAATGTGTTTTAAGTAAACTTAATTATGTCGTTATTATAATGAATTTTGAATTTGTTCTTCTTAATTTGTAACTTGCTCCATTCTTCACAATTCTCTAACTTTAAAAAATTAAAATCACCAAAACAACAATCTCTCTTCACAACTCAATTATTTATGAGAAAAAAAAATTGTAACTTAACTCGATCAATCATAATTCCTTAACTTTTTAAAAAGAAAATTAAAATCACTAAAGTAATTGGGTTAAGTAATTCATATATTCATATTCAGATTTTTTTTTCAACTTGTAAACACGGTTTACTTGTTGAAACTCTACTTATATATCATTTTGTAAGATTGTAATACAAGAGAATATAATATAAAAAAAGTTATATATGGAGATAATTCTCTTTGTTATAAGTTAGTCTGTAGTCTTGAAATCTTAAAAAAATATGAACAAAATAAAAATATTGATATTTTGCCAGAAGCCATTAGAATTAATCAACAACATGATGAGTGAAATTCAGAATCCCCAAGAATTCCAAATGAGTGAGGGCTTTGAGATCATCATCACTGATTTCACGGTTTTGTTACAATCCAAGATACATGGTATGTTAAAAAGTTGCGTTGTATGTCATTCATTATGTGACTGACTAACATTGCTGAAGTCATTACTTTGTTTCAGTCATTACTACGAACAGCATTGCTTTCTTGGTTGCTTACGCATTTGTTTATTCCTTTGTGTTTGTGTGAAGTGGTGTGAGTGAGTAGCAATATTTTTTGCTGGGAGTTGAAGGATTGAATCTCATGATCTGCTTCTCCACGCTCTGTCTGGGGTGTAAATATATGTTTGACCTTCAACAGCTAATCATGACAACCATTATTTGGGTTATGGGTGCTCTCTTCATCCATTTATCACTCTATTCTTGACTTTCTCCATGATGCCATACTGTGCCTTTTTATCCACACACATGCATTCATAATGCTTCCTTAACCATCTCTCAAAGTTCTTTTTTTTTTTTCTTTTTCTGCTTCTTATAATGAAATTAACTGCTTCATGTCATGTCAATGTCCAATTTATGTAGCCCGGCCCAAAATGTTTGGAGAACTATGTAATGTCATATCTAAAAATAAGTTTTCATCAGGAGTATTTTTTGTAAAATAAAAAACAAGAACAACAGGTTGGGGAATTTCAAATAGGAAATTGGGGGTGCCAATAGTAGACCCCATTAACAGTTTATTTCAAGCCCAATAAGGTTGTCAATGATTCCAAATTTATAGTTTCGTCCGACCAAAAAAGACTTCATTGGAGCTAACTCGTTTATATTTATAACAGTTTTCACCATAATCAACATTCTATTAATTTTCAAAACTCCCCAACTTAATTTCGCCAAAAAGTAGCGTTAGTTAGAGACAATAATTTCACTTGTCTGATGTCTAACTTTATTCTATATTTTTGTTCATTCATCAACAAAATGCCAGGGAAATAAAATAAGAAGAGAGACAACACTGAAGACAAAGCCGAAATTCCCTTTACCCACCAACTCCACTAACTCTAATAATCTATCACCTAATACCATTTGATATAAAAACTAAGCATATTATGAGAAAACAAGTGCTTTTGTTTAAGCTTTATTTAGAATTTTCTCATCTTAGAAGTGATAACAATGGCGATGAAGATAAATAAAACGTTTTTTTTTTTTTCAGATGAATGGTCATGGTACAGCTAAAGACAGCACTGCTTCATTCCCTTGACGCGTATGTTGTGTGGTAACATATTCATGCTACTGCTATGCCATTTCTATCCAATGCCACATCACTCAAAGACGTGAAACCCACACACACCAACAAACTATACGATAAGCACAACATATTAAAGACATCACACCCTCTCAACTCAACACAACAATAGACTTCCCCTCTCTCTCTAACCAACATCATAAACTCATTCTTTCCGAGTTAACAACATCTTTGGTTCCAACAAACATAACATCCACCTACAACAGTAATCACAAGCAACAAAGCCACCATCCTATAGTAGTACACTAAAGCACGCTACTTTCTTCAACAACACTCCTCTCTTGCTTGTTAGAGATGAAAGGGAAAGCATTGGGTGTCTTTAAATCCAAGCTTCTCAAGCCATGCAAAAAACTATTATTCTTCTTCAGACTTAAACCCAAGAAGTCTGTGTTTATAAGAGCTCTCAAGTTCCGTGCTCACAAGTCCACATTCCCTAAGGCCTTCCCTACAAAACCTACTATGTCTTCTTTGTTGCAATCAGTGTTTCGCTCTCCGAAGAAATCTAAGCACACAGACACGTTGCAGGGACTCGGGAGTCCCTCCAATGTGCATGAAACTCCACTCTTTCCATCGCCACTTACGCCCGCTTTTGTAAAGGCTAGTGCGGTGGAGAAAAGTGAAGAAGGTTCGAGGCAAGAGGTGGAAGATGCGTGCAAGAGTTTTGAGAATTATTTGGTGGAGATGATTGTGGAAGAAGGCAAGACTAGGGACTTGATGGATGTGGAGGAACTTCTGTACTGTTGGAAGAACCTTAAGTGCCCAGTCTTCATTGATTTAGTTAGTAGATTTTACGGAGAGCTTTGTAAGGACTTGTTTTCTCCTGATACTGAGGATGGTGACAGTTCCAAGTGAAGGCCTAAGGAGAGAGTGTGAGAGTAAATAGATATTGATTTATTCTAACTATAATTTTCATTTGAGTCTTCCCACAAAATTGGATGTATGCAATCTCTGTGTTATGTAGTTTATATGAAACATTTTATGAAATGATCCATCTTGATTTATTTATCATCAGTTTTGATGATGTAACAGATTGTCCAAAAGTCTCAACACCTATGGTTATTTATATAGATCAGACTCTTGATTTGGTTTAAAAAACTAAATTCAGAATTGATTCTTGTCCTTTTGGCAATAATTAAGATTAGCATTTTAGGATGAACCATAAAAAGACTTCTAACATGTACTTGGAAATATGATAACAAGTTGGCAAACAAGAAAGCAACTGCAATTTGACATCTTTTAAAAAAATCTCAAATCATTCTATTCTATGGCCATTTCGAGTCTCCAGTATGATGGCATTTTAACTATGGAGACACATTATGATCCTAATGTACTAATAACAGCATACTGTCACATAAATGAGTAAAGTTAATAAACATCCTTACAAAATATTAATACATCAACACTTCACAGTAAGACTGGAAAAAGATAAGGACCATGCATAGACACATTTCCTTACGTGTCTTGGCGTTGTTCCCCAATCAAACTTTGAGTTTTACCTCAATGATTCACAAAATAAAGGTTGCAATAAGGATCGGTATAAGTTACCAAAAAAACACTAGAAGCATCCAAGAGAATATATCTAAGTTTTGTCCAGAAACTAATACCTGGTTTCATGAAAGGCAGTTTTACTTGAACACCTATTTACAGTTTATAGAGAAATTTGAAGGTTAAGAAAAAAAATACAGAGCAGTAAAGAAATTTAAGACCACTGTAACTACTGGTTATATCAGGTCTCTAATTAATAGAAAAGATTATTACAACAGAGAGCTGGTGGTTGAGGTTCTAGCATAACCTAGTAGTCATGGTTATATTGACTAGCTAAGCTACCATTCAAAGAACTCTAGTACAAAAACTGTGTGGTTCTGTTAGCTGAATTACCAGTTAAAAAGGCCACCATTTAGCTTGATTATTTTGAGATATAAACTCGAGACTTCACCACAATCTTTCCAATTTTAAATCCTGGCATGATCATAAACTGAACTTTGTGGGTTGTTCCTTCTTCATCTGAAAGAATTGCACTCTCCTTTTCTTCTTCAACAGATTCCATGTAAAAGCTGGAGAACACACTTCCCCTGTTCACAGAAAATAGGGTTGCTGCAGAATCTATTGACAGAGCAGATCCAAGTAAAACCCAAACCCATTTTGCCATCTTAGCAAACAATTGAAAGAACTCAGTTCTAGGGTGCTTCCCACTCATTATAAACATTCGGTGATCCAAATTGCCAAAGAATGACTCTTCCATTTTGGGATGCACAACAAGAAGGTATTTTGCTTGACAAAATTTGGCAAAATCTGAATGTGGATTCTCCAGCAGTGCTTCAAAAGGGTCACCAAACTTCATAATATCAGTCACATCATAAGAGGTTAACGCAACCCCATGAAACATTCTGCGCGCAATGTAGGCCTCAAAAGCATACTTCTTGTCACACCTTTTGGAATAAACAACATCATTCTCAATAGAACTTGCAGCCCTATCAAGGTCCCAACCTGAAGCTTTCATCAAGCTAATCATCGGTCTTGCAAAATCATGAATGGACTTCGAAGCAGCCATGAAGACATCTTGGAACTTAGTAACACTCAAAACACCCGCTTTCCTTTTCTCCAAACTTATCTGCTTCATCTTCTCAGTGAGATTTTTATTCCCAATCTCCAAATCGAGCAGGTCGCGCCGCAATCGTACAATCTCAGAATCTTTAGCACTGTTCTGAGACTTAAGTTTCCTCAACAGTGCCTCCTTGGCCACAATTTCAGCCATCAAAGGAGCAGAACGAGCGGCATTGAACCTTGCTTTCTTGCAATGCTTCTGTGTGTATTCGCGCTTGAACTTGCAAATCTTATCAAGCTCAGCAACAACCAGGTCATCAGCAGCAACTATCTTCAGAGGGTCATAAGGGATATGCGCCTGCTGAAGCTGAAGGTATGCCAATTTCAGTGCTGAAACAGCACCAAATATCTTTCTCATGACCTCCAAACCAACACAAGCATCCTCTTTGGCTGGCACTTCAATGGGGTGGGGATGCACTTTTTGGTGATAGCATCTGCTCTCCTCATTACTGGTTTCACTCAGAGGAGTCTCATTGCAAATGGGTCTGTGCAAGGGAGGGAGATTGGGGATTTCAGAGGAAAACACCCCAATAGACTTCAGTCTACAAACTTTGGCAAACTTGCAGACCATTTCTGATATATTATTTGAGTTGGGTTTCACTGGCTTAATATCTGAGAATTCCATGGTAAAAAAGATCAAACCTGAACTCATACAAATCGATCCAGCAGTGATCCTTGCTTCAACAAACAAGTAAGCACTTTACAAAATCCAAATAAAAAAGAAGAAAAACACTCACTCAAAGTGCATTTTATGAAATGCGGTTTTCTAACCACATTGCACACAACTAATAACTCAGACAGAGTCAAGATTCCAGGCACGAACACCTGGTAGTGGTGGCAAGTAGGATCCCAGATTTAAAAGTAAAAAAAAAAAAAAATATATATATATATATATATATATATATATATTAAAATTTTATATAGCAAGAAGAGCCAAAAAACGACCCCTCAAAAAAAGAGCCAAAACCCATTTGAGTTTCAAAGGAAAGCAAGAACGTGAAGCCAAAATCTAACCAGAAAGTGGAAGTGTGGTTGGAGGAATAGTGAAGAACAGAGCAAGGCTGCAAGGTCTCTCGGTCGGAGTTCAGTGCAGGTTGGCACCATCTTTTGTCTCTCTGACATTTGAAAGTTTGAAACTAGAGTGAATTCACATTCATCCGTGTGTTAGTGTTGGCTTTGTACGAAACGCGAGAAAGTCATTGTTTATTTATTCATTGTTACTAACTTATTTTATTATTATTTTGGGTGTTTGGGAAAGGGGTGAGAAGCAGGAAATGGAATCTTAATCTGTACTGTTCCAAAAACTGAAAGATTTTCTTCATAGAATGGAGAGAGAGAAAAGGTGTGTGTATTATGTACATGCAGTGCAGGAATGGACACGCGCAAACCAGTACCAAAAATGAAGTGAAGGTGGGTTTGGAATTTTGAAGAAAACAATGAAATCATAAACAAATAATATGCACGCGAGGTTGTTACTTCTTCTTTGGTTTCTTTCGAAATCATGGATCCCCATGCAGATGCATCCAACGCACCTCATTGATTCCATTTCAGACACACAACAAGCCATCCTGGCCGTTCATTTCTTTGCGCGTTTGCCTACTATGCTAAAAAAAACTTCGCCTGTTGAAGCCGAAGCTACTTCTACAACAACGAGGTTTCTCTATCATTTCTTTATTTTATTTTATTTCTCAAACTTATCACTCCCTCGCTTCTCTTTTCTCACAACGTTAATAAAATATTATATTTACTTATTTTAAAATTACTTTATAACGTCAATATATTGAGTGTTTAAATAAAAACGATTATGTTTAAAACTTTTTTTAAAATAAAGTAAATTATGTTTATAAAATTATTGTAAATTTTACCCATTAACTTATATTTATACATAAGTTTAGATGAACCACTATCTTATCATAAATACAATTTACAAATAACAATAAAATAAGTAGAAAATATCAATATATATTAAATAGTCACTTTAGTTATGAATTATCAATTAAAGCACCAGTGGTCTAGTGGTAGAATAGTACCCTGCCACGGTACAGACCCGGGTTCGATTCCCGGCTGGTGCAGAGCTGTGACGATAATTGTGTCAACTGTGATGGATGGGTCTATCACGTCGCTCTGATCTTCAGACGAATGGTGGCACACCTGAGCTCTCGTATTTTTTTATTATTCTTTGATTTAAACTTTTCTTTCGTTATTCGTAACTATCATCATTCACAACAACGATAATAGGACCAATCATTCTCCAAAACACATTCATTAAAATGTGTTTTCAATACTTTAGTTTTTGTATAATTCAATTCATTACTTTTTAATACTCGTGCAAATTCTATTTTTTCATTACTTTTTTTATATTCTTTTCCTATATCATTTAAAAAATAATGTGTTATTAAAGTATTATTTTTATGTTTATTATTACAGAAAAAACATATGAGTTAGTAACTATAATAGTTTTGTTAAAAATATTACACAAGATTATTCTTGTATTGTGATAATATTAGGGTTATCTATTTATCTGACAACCTGGTACAACATTAACGTATCAAATATATTGAGATAGACATACATTTTATACAGAAACAGATTGCATATGATTAGATTCGAGTTCTTTATGTGTCTTCACGATATCAAATCATGGATATCTTTACTAAGGGATTTTCACGTGTGTTGTTTGATGATTTTAGGAATAGTCTCGAGTATCTGTCATCCTCCAGTTTTGATTGCGAGAAATGTTAAGATATATGTAAATATATTTTGTTATTGTATTTTAGGTAAGCATATATTAAATTTATAATTAGTTTCCTGAATATATACATAATATTATTAGTTACATAATTAGTTTCCTAAGATTAGGGCTTGTATATTGTATTTATTTCAAGTCAGTGAATGAGATCAATAGAGGAAAATATTCTTTTAATACCATCTAAACAAGAACCAATTATTCGAGATATTATTATTGATTTTGATAAAAAAAGATGATGATATACATGTTGATAAAAAAATATAATACTTTGGATCATCCCCTCATCAGAAACGTGGCCAACATGCACAATCTTCTAATTATGATACAATTATTTGTAAAGAAATGTTTTCCAATAGAAGGAAACAACACTAAGTGTTATTAAACATTTTCATATTAAGTAAGGTTATAGATATTAAGTAGTTGAGTCAAATATGTTGTTCGATATATCCATTATGAAAATAGGTGTCAATAAAGACTCGAGTTTCATTGATTAAAATTTGACAATAGTGGGAGGTAAACAAAATTGAAGCGAATAACATATGTTTGTTTAGTATGTTATCTACTGATCATCAAAATCTAGACTAAAATGAAATTACTCATATTATTTATGAATTGGTCAAAACAAATGTTTTTATTCCTATAAAAAACTATGGCTTTTGGTGACTAGGAAGATACTACAAGAAAATAATTAATTACTGACAAATATATAGTCGTCAAAAAATGAGTGATTACCGACGAATATATTCATCAATAAATTAATACTTAGTTACTTGACGGATATATCCATCGGTAAATATTTAAAATATATAAATACATGTATTTATATATTTAGAAAATTGTAATAGTCTCTAAATCTAAGATACTTTGTTCGAATCCTGCCAAAGCCAAAGACAATGCAGGATTCAAACCCAATACCTTAGAATTGCAGGTTGATACTTCAACCACTAAGCTACTACAATTTTCTCGATAATAATTTACAAATATATATATATATATATATATATATATATTGATATATTGATATATTTTAAATATTTACTAACGGATATATCCATCGGTAATCACTCGATAATTTTCGTTGGTAATTTTTATCGATAATCACTCATTTTCTGACGACTACATATCCGTCAATAATTAATTATTTTCTTGTAATGGATAGAGGAACAACAATATTAGTAGCATTATATTCTCAAGAGCTTGGGTGAGATAGAAATTAGTATGTACGTTGTATTGGACATAGCTTCAAATATCGAAAACAATTTCAACAATATGCATTTGAAAAGACAAATAATTAATATGGATAATATATATGTATATATATACTTTTTTTGTCATTATAATTTTTATATATATTAACTTTTTGGATTATTTTATTTTTTTCAGCATATGAGATGAAGAAGTAACCACGACTTCTTACAAAATTATGTGTTATTAGGTCAAAATTTTGATAAACTATTTTTCGGTTGGATCAAATTCCATTAGAAAAATGGACACAAACATATGATGGAAGAAACAAATAAGACTATATAACCACCTTCTTCCACCATGGATGACACCGAAAGCCTCACACCTTGAGCATCCAAGGTTTCAAGGAGAACCAAAATTCTTTCCCAAGTTTCTAAAGAAACTTAGTACTAATTCCTCTAAGAAAACCAAAATTCTTTCCCAAATTTCTAAAGAAACTTAGTTCTAACTCCTCTAAGAAAGGTTCGTTGTTAGGAGAATATGAGAAAAAAAATCTCCAATGATATTTGAAAAGTCAATTTGGGGTACAAGCAAAATATGCAAGTTTCCCACACAAGTTTTGTCTTCATTCCAATGTGATTCAAAAAGTTATACAAGGGGTCATATATATAGTTGTTTCCCTCTTATTCACTCACTCACTTAAGGAATCTATGACTAATTTTGCTTATACAAGTGATGGTCGAAGTTCATAGCTTTGATGCATGTTTATTTCACCTCACATTTATAAATTAAATTAGGTCAATTGCATGAATTCTTGTAGCATTTGAATAATGTTTTCATGCATTACCGTTGCATTTTACTTGTCATGTAGTTTCTTTGATTTATTGAGAAACAGGTGCATTTAGAACAAATTTTGTGGGGCTTGCATGACTGACATCATTCATAAGCTGGCAGTGGAATTCCATTTTTTCTATTGGGCTAGGGCTGAAAAGGAAAAAGAAGAGTAGCTAGAAAAAAAGGAAAAAGGCTGATGTGGAAAGGAGGAGGGAGTTAAAAACGGAGAGAATTACATTGTGTGAGGGGGGAGGCAAGAAGGACAGCGGAGGAGAAGTAGTTTTTGAGGGTTTTAATTTTTGTATGAGAGAAAAAAAAGGGAAGAAAAAATTTTGTTTAGAGGGTTGATGTAGTATTCTGTAAGACAGATTGTAAACTTATTTAATTTGATGCAGTGTAATTTTATTTGCTCCAGTATCTTATCTATGATTTTTTATGTCCATTTTTAAGCAGTTATATTTGAAAAAATTGATATTGTTTATGTTGTTAGATGAGATAAGTTGGGTTTTTGTTTAATTGGAAAATTACGCAAACTTAACTAGTTATTGTGGAGGATATTATTAATTATTCAAGTTTCAGTGCATTTTTCTTATTCCAAGGAAAATTAAAAGTTCAGTGAATAATTTTGCTTACCTGAGGGATTAGGAAGTAAATAACACTTTTGACTCCAGTGGGTAAATTTAATTCTTGTATCAATTAAATATATTAGGAATTTGTAAGAAGGAATATGAAATCAATCATTTGGTATATATTTTACTGAGAAAAATAATTTTTCTGTTGTCATTCCTTTACTCTTTGATTATTCAAGCTTTGATTACTCAAACTTAAGTAAAATTAATGATACACTATTCAACAAATATTCTATCCCTAAAGACAGTAATGTG